AAATTATGGCCTTGAAAATGTCACATACTTCTCCAACCTTTGTCTTGACTTTTGCCTTAAAACATTTATCTCCTAATTTCTTGCTAAAATAATGTTTTTCATATGTAATTTTGTTCATACAGTATTTATCTTTCCTTAAAACGTGAGTCACATTGTTATGTTAGTTGTTTATTTAGATGTTAGGTATAGAGTAATAAAATAACGTTCCGGACATAAGCAAAGGTCCCTAAGCAGAGATTATCTACAGGCCATGTAAACAACAACCGTCGCTCGGTCGGCAGTCATACGGGTCCTTTGAGAAACTAAATCTCCTCTGAATTTAATTATATTCGCTGCTGATAAATACAACAAACAATTTTTTTAAAACGATATAAATATAACAGGAGAAAAAAAAACCTTTTTAAATATGTTAACAAATTTCGTAGTATGAATCGTTATTTCGCACGCGATATCATTGGGTTATTACACGTTAAAGGTTATGCGTACACTGAACGCAAAGGATTGGATATTTGGTGTGAGCAATGAATAAATTTAGCCTTAGAGACACTTGTCGATAGCGTACGTGCCGAGTTTTATATTTAGCTCACTGGAACATTTGACATATATCTTATGAAGATGTACTAAAAATATCGTATAGGGGTTTTCGGAAAATGATTCAGACAATAGTAGATGAAGTCAATATGAAATAAAAATACACATAAGATTTCTCAATTTTAAGCTGTGCAATAAAACCTTAAATAAGTTTTTTTTATAAAAGTGTTTAACATTAAAATATATTTATAGTGAAAAATGCAACAAAAAAGACAATTGAATAGTCTTTTTCATATTCTAAGTGGCTAGTTCGAATATAAGACTGTTTCTGCATAACGTTCAGGTGCTTGATTTTATTTTATGTTATTTTTTCACGGTTCATTGCTCTTAAGGAGAAACACCTAAAACTCTCTTTGTTATGTCTTACCGTTATCTATTTTATTTTATCTCTATTTTTTAAATGTATAATACATATTTTATTTGTTTACCCGACTAACAAAAGGACAATGTTTTTTTGACGCTTCTATAAGTTGTTTTTGTGAATGTAGGTTTTTATGTATGTAAATATCTTTGTAACGGCCTAGAGCCTAAACAACTGTGTCGTTTTGGCCGAGTAATATTAAGTAAGGATTACTGTACACGAAACACATACTGTATACGTAAGTAATGAAATTCTATATTAGTTAAAAACGCGCTCGAATCTCATTTTACGTGACATTTTTAATATTGCTGTTAGGTACGGTACAGATGCAATATTTCTTCACAATAGATTCTCCTGAGTTGTTACATTAAAATAATTATTTATAATATAAAGCAGTTAAATCGGAAACGGGCTCAGGTACAGCTAAGCCTAAATTATGTTCAACAGCATCTGACATATTTCCCATGAATGGTGTTTCGTGTTGCGTGAAATACTATCATCATAGTGGGTAGTATTTTTAATTATTTAAGCGCTATTTATCGTTCTATAAAGGGTTTTAGTATCCCTTGATTTCGGGACACCTGAATATGGATTCTAAAGTAGCTTCTTGTTAATGAGAGCTTTTGCTTCGTTGCAACTGTAAGGCGCCAGTTCGCATCCTCACCACTGCCATCAATCGCTACCGTTACAAAATAGTGAGAATCAAATGGGCACAAAATATCACGACTCATAGCCTGACCATGTATAGAGATTAGAGCCACAGGGTTAGATAATTTTGTCAATAGATGCTCTTGTCTGACCAATTAATATTACACAAGTGATCATTCAAATGTCATATTGAACAATGGAACATGATTGTTGGCAGATTTTAGCTTCAAAATGCTTACGTGAATTACAAATGAATAAATAATTATGAAGACTAGTATTTGTTATAACTTCAACATAGTTATGTTGTTGTGCGCGTACGTATTAATGAGTAATAGCGAATTAATTTTTCAATCTTCAATTAATATAATATGTTTTCTGTGCTCAGAAACCGAATACTACCATAGAAGCACTGACAGATCAAGATCTTTCATCACTTGTTCGTGTTTAAAATCGCAATTTCGAACTTTAAGCGAAGTATGATTAAAGTCTGTAAAAACATATCGTCCTCCTTATCATTATCATCTCAGAAACTCACGGTAATTATAACTAAATTATTAAGATAAGCTGATAAGATTTAAAATTTGTAAAGGGAAAATCTTTACATTGTCATGAATGTAACTTCTCGAGTTAACTGTAATTGAATAATTCAAGTGTCTCAGAAACGTACATGACTCCCAAGAGATTAGTCGATAGAGTACGGAGTTCCCGGCTAAAATATGTAGTCATTTGTTATTCTAAGTATTTAAATAAATTGAATTTTAAGCAGCGTAGAGATTTTGGTTTCTATTTCAGGCACGGGCTTAGCCCTTGCTGCAGTTTTTCATGGCAACCGACACTTTCCACGAGATTCACATTAATATTGTCTAAAGTGCCGCCATTTTCTAGACACATTTACAACTTTAATTAAAATCTACCACAATTACGATAAAATAAATTATTGTTCGTAAAGGTTCTAAATTTATAATTTTTATCAAGAGTGGAATGTGACCGAAACCCTAGAAATACATTTTTTTAAATTCATATTGATTTGGATATCAAATATTCCAAGAATAATTTATAACTCCAATGAACAATGTCATTGAATTCGTCTGGGTTATTATTACGTAGTTAAAACAGCCAAGAAAGTTCTTCGAAAATAAAGCCTATTATCTCGTTACTTTGGTAAAGTACTACGCAGCAGATGTAGCAAATTGACAAACAATAACTTAAACGACCACGACGTTAACATATCTCAACTTTAAATTTTATCGGACAAGTTACAACTTAAGTCACATTGCGTAACAACGAAGACTACTAGAACGTGACCAGCCAGTTCGTACAAATATTGGATAACTATATTTTTACATTCTGCATCTGTATGTAAATATCATCATGCCATTGTGATCGACTGGCACCATAAACCTTTGAAGATTGGGGCGTTATTCGATTCGTATTTTTCCGGTTCTCATATAATTATCAGTTGGGCTTGGTGTTTTGATAAAATTAATTATTATATTAATAGTTAGACTAACTAATTACGTAAAACTTTTTAAATGATGCTTGTCTTTATAATTGTTGACAACTGGATCATGGATGTAACTTAATTGTCTACATCTTGTAGGTCTTTCCATAAACATATTATAAAATAATGAAAATAATCCCTATGTAAATATTAATAGAGTATATAAGTAAAAATAAGTCTAAGTCTATATGAAATAATAAGAAATTACTAATAAATTTATTTTATCTAACATATCACCACAACATAATTATGTTGGATGTCTTAGTAGGAGAGGCGAAGAGGGGATTTTGGAATTTACTTGAGCGTGGCAACTACTCACACCACACATAGTCCTTCCTACTATAAAGTCAGCCGTATTATTATAGAAGTAGAATTTTTATTTTTCATATAAGAATTTCATGTTGAATAGAATATTGGGATAATTTAAATACTACAATACGGATTTTGAAGTACAAAATCATGTTGATATGCTAAAGCTCGCTACACATGCTACGTTTTAATTCAACAGTTGAGTTAATCATTTTATCAGTTTTGTTACGGTAAGTTTTCAGTGATATAAAATCTGTTTAACAACAACTAAAAATAGACCAACTTTTAAGCCACATGACAATGCAGCTTTTTACATCTAGTGTCATTACAAACGTAAAATGGCCATTGTTACATACGAGCGTGAAGCTCAGCATAGGTATCGAATGAAGGGATTGCCTAGTAGAATTTAGATCGCAGAATAAATCCAAGATGGCTGCCACTACAAAATGGCCGTATACAAAAGGGACTTTAATTTTATCTGATCAGTTCGAATATTCATCATAAGGCCCGCTACATGTAGCGGGATTGACAGATTTTCGCTTTTGTATAATAGTTTCGTACGTATTAATCTTTCAAAAACAGGATATGGTACAGGGATAGGAGTCCGATGCACAATGGTCGACTCGCTTCGGGATCCATTATGCTGACCACTTGTAACTGTACTGGGAAGATTGGATATGTCGTTGTGATATGTGAGGTCAGTATTACAGCAATATTGCAGAGACGTTCAAGTGGCAAAGTTAAGTGAATTAAATACAATCTACACACCACAACTATAACGGTTAGTTAGAACTTGTTGAAATTTGATACGTCTTTGTACTAAGCAGATGTTTGTGTTAATCGAATTAAAGGCTAGAACGTTATAACCATCTAACGTTATATTGTAGGACAAAACAAGCACTTAAATAAATGAGTGCTTCATTTCTATTCTATTCACAAAAGAATGCAATTAGTAGTTAGTACTCGCATATCTTGAATGTATTCGTATTCTTAAAAAGATCCATTAAATTTTCCTTTAAACCAAAGAATTATTCTCCGATATAAGCGATGAATGTCAATAGTAATAAAATTGATCGATGAATATCTTTTACTTTGATGACATAAGTAGGTTTAATAAACCTGGAGTCCTTGGCATGGGAATCACTTTAAAAAAATGTAAAAGAAAGTGTTCACTTCAATAAATATGCGTAGAAATACCGAAACGTTTTCAATTCAAAACATGTATAAAATATAATAGCACTCTCTCTGTCAAGCGAGTTTACATAATAGTTTTTCGAGCGAGCGTTTTTAAAAGATGGCTCAAATAAATTCTTAACATCTGCATTCAAATGAAGCCTCAACTTTTATTAAAATAAATTTCTAGAGCTTTTCCTAGTATTGTTTAAATATATTTTTTTTTGCTATTATCTTCGTATATGTAAAATGAAAGTAATAGGAGATAGATAAAAGAATGAAATTCAAAATGAACAAAGAAATTTTAATATTTGAGACTGAAAAGCAGATCGTATTTCTGTCGGGAAGTTCCCTCTTTTGCTCTGTTTTAAAACAAAATTCTAAATAAATTATATATAGTAATAAAACAATTGTTTACTTATTTACTTAAAAATTATATTATTACGAATAAACCGGTTTTTATAACTCTACATTTGTATTTGTACTTCAAAGTTTTAGTTTATTTAGTTAGTTGCCTCTGTTTTATCCAAATTGTCGTTTTGTTCTTGAGAAGCGATGATTTCTTTCTTAAAAGCGCGTCTCCTCGCGTGACGGCCTGGATATCTAATAACTTGTGGTACGTCCCCATTTTGTATAGTAACCTAAAAAATTATAATTCGAGAGTGAAAATCGACGAATTTTAACAAAAGTGACGGTTATTAAATTTTTTTAATATAAATCGTATTTACAACATGACATGGACATTAATATAACACACCTCACTATATGGAACTATTTTTTTTCTCGTTAGATAGTACATGGTTTTCTACTTTACTGACCAGGCTTTATTTAATTTAGCTTCAAAATTACTGTCTAATATTAGCTGACGATGTCATGGGAAACAATCGCACAAACATTATTATTATTAAGTAACTAAATAAATATTTGAATTTCCTTAAGTCCCCAAACATTCCGCTATTTACATTATATATTGACTAAATGTTAAGTAAAAACATTACTTACCCTTCTTCTTACAGGAACGTTGTTTTCTAAGAATTTATTTACCGCACCAAGTGTATTAATGGGTATCTAGAAAGGAACATTATAGTATAAACAGAAAACATATTAAAAATATTAGTATCTTTGTTTTTTACAAATCGAATGAGAGGGACAGCGATATGTTTTCGTACAAGTGTTCCGTTCAAAATGAAATCGGATATGAAATACCTCTGGAAATATTTTCTATAGAAATTGGTTCAGAAACCTTATATAGGTGAAACCGGCGTGTGTTACAGTTTATGTGCACTCGCTTTATGAGATTTGAGGACAAAGTTGTAAGGTTTCAGGAAGCAGTAAGTATACTTTACACTTTTTTTTATAGTTTAAACATATTTACAAGAATAAATTATAGCTTCAATGAGATTAAATGTTGGCTACAAAGGTAAGAAGACCAAAGAAAGTATGGATGGATTGTGTGAAAGTTGATAAGAGTATGGAAGAGGATTCACATATGACGGCTGATAGAGATGTATGTAGAGATGGTAGATTAATGATGACACATATTAGCTTGAACGTGTGAATGAATGAACTAAGTACAGTAAAAGAATTAAATTCGCTACCCACTTAAGATCTAATTCAGAATATTGTCACCATAACAGCTATAATTCAGCTCTATACCACCAAACTGGATAGTAAATAAAGGTTCTCGATTGTACATTATGTGGTTATAAATTTTTTTATAAGCATAAAGTAACCGACGCGACTTGTATCCTCTACTCAAGGTTACGTCGGTATGCAAAAGAAGAGAATAAAGCCATCATGCATTGCGGAAAACTCATAATCTTTGCCTAACCAGAGGGTTAGGCAAAGATTAGGCAACTCGCAGGAGTTTCCTGTATTATGTAATAAGGATACTATCTGTGGGGGCTACTACGAAGATTTGTGAGAATCTCCATCATGTCTTTGACGAAATTTGTATTAAAATTTGTACAGCGACGTAAAGTACGATAATAATCTTATACTAATTATGACATAATTAACGATGGCCATACGAAAGTGATTGTCACCAATATTTGTGCTAGGCCCACTGAAAGCAATGTTATGGTGAATTTCAATTATCGTAACACATGTGATTATTGCTATCTCTGTTTTATACGTAGATAATGAAAGGGATGTAGTACATATGTAACGACAGTGGAGATTCAGTTATATGAACTTACCGCTATTATGTCATCGAGCAACTGAGACGCATTCGGAGTCTTAACCGAGATTTGCGTATCGGATGATTTGACTGATGATGGTGATGCATGCTTTGGTGATATTAAATCTGTTTCTGAAGAAAAGTTGTGATTCCTTAAACTGGTTTCGTTTGCAGTGATACTTGCATTAATATGGCTAACCTCGAACTAAAGTGGTCTATGTAATATTTTTGAACATAAAAATGATAAATAAATCCTATATATTCATTAATCTATCAATATAACATACATAAGTACATAAGGACTACAAACGTGTTTCATTTGTTATCTGAAAATTTTTATTTTGTATCAAAGACTACTTTAGTGCCAAGTTATCTGTATGTTGTCTCTGTTTAATCAAAGAGAATGTAAGGGATAACAATATGTATAAACACGAGTCAATGTAGAGTTCCGGGGTAAGTTGCTTACAAATTTACTTTTACATTAATATAATATTTCATTTAATAATAACGTTTCAATTTTACATTGTTATTGCTACTACTCAAATGTCTGAAATGACATGCAATGAAATTTAAAAAATAACATTATTTTTATAAATATATAAAAAAATATTATTTTATTGTAATAACAATGTGGCAAACGAGCAAGCAGCCACCTGAATTCTCTGAAATAGTGAAGAGACCGTTACGAGTAAATATCCGCAATTGTAGATGCGTTGACTACTCGATAAAGGAGGGGAGACACACAAATAGATTTTCCCCTTCCTTTATCGCATTCTCATTCAAACTTACTTCCCATGCTTTCCTTATAAGAAAAGGGGGGGTCTTATTCTTGTATTACATAAGCAAACTAGCAAGCAATCATTTTAGTATATTATAAAAGTAGTTGTTAATAAATTACAAAAATCCGTAGCAACATTTTAGATTCCATTGGCCGGAAAATCCTTTTACTATACTGTGATTAACATAGTTGCTTACCTGCTTGTACAGAGGCTGACTTTTGCAGAGATATGCTAGTGTTACCAGCTGTATTTGTCAGGAAGGTTCTTACAGCTGTAAGTGCTGCAATAGGTATCTGAAAATAAATTATCACTCACACTCATAGTCATTTAAATAATATTATATCTACTTTAAAACATTTCTCTAATCTTAGTTCTTATTAATGTATATACTATAAATAACAGAGGTAGATGGATGTATGTATGGATGGATGAGAGTTTGTTAAAAGGTATCTCAAAATCTTGTTGAAATTTGGCAGAGATGTTAAGTTTTTAAGTTTTTTGATTCCCCGCAGATAGAGTGGCGGGCGTCAGCTAGTGACATAAACCAGTGTAATACGCCTTCTTTCTGTGAATACAGTTCAGATTGTTTCGACCACAGAGGAGTTAAGATGCACTGAGTTAAATTAACGGTGAAACTTCACTTACATTAAAAATATCCTCAAAGAATGTTGGATTTCTTTGGAGATTAACTTCCTTTCTGTATGTAATCTGATCAACTGACTGAGCAGATGGGGTAATTTCTTTGTTTACATTCTCATTTCCAATGTCTATTCGTTTTTCTATTAATTGGGGAGAATCATTTTTGCTGTCGATTGAAGCGCCAAGGAAACCATTGATCTGTGAAAATGTTCGAATTGAAAAGAAATCTTACTAATATTATAATGCGAGTTTTTAGATGGATAGATTGATGGGTGTTCTTTACAAAATATCTCCAGAAGAGATGCATGGATCTCGTTGAAATTTGGCACAGAACATGGTCTAGAAGAACACATAGGCTAATTTTTAATTTCCGGGCTGACGAAGTCGCGGGTGGCAGCTAGTGATATATAATTCTATTAATAAGTTGACACACTTATAAAAAATGTAATTATTTCTTTAAAAAGTTGTTTAGAAATTGAACTGACAAAAGATATAGAACATTAAAATACTCGTAAGACGCGAAAAAATAAGCCGATTATAGCTTCAATTACATTTGCGGTACGAGGTATCTTTGATTACATTTTATAACGAGAATTTACCGTTTTATTGATATTGCCTAAATAAGAAAATGAAACGAAATGAAAGTACTTATTTATTTTAGTTATAGCTTTCGATGAGAATTTGGCATCGAATTTAAACTCCAGGGAGTTGTTCTATTTATTTTCTGGTTTAAACAACAAATACTTGTAAAAATACCGGTTGAAAAGAAAATACTAATGTTGAAAGTATACATTTTGAATAAGGTTTTATTCTGCTATACTCAATTTTGTACCAACAGATTCATTGGGACTTTGACATCCGAAACACTTGTAAAAAATATTATTGCCAAATCTTACTAATTTTATAAATGCGAATATTTAGATGGATTGATATTTAAACTACACGGATTTTGCTGACATTTGGCATAAGAATAGTCTGGAAGGACACATGGGCTACTACTACTAATAAAGTTTTTTTTTTAAATTACGAGCAGACGGAGTCGTTGATGACAGCTAGTACATTCATAATTTGATATTAAAACTTAAAAATTGCCATTGCATTTGTCAATATGTTAACGCCAATTATAAATAATAAACAATTAACTTATTCAAACTTACGTGAGACATTATACTAAACTGATATATAAACACGGCTAAACACTCACGTATATACGTCCGGTGGCGGCACCGACTAGTTTCGAGCCCATCGGGGGCCCTTCATCAGGATGAGTGGCACTGGTATTATTATTATTTAAGAGCGCAGGCGCGCAGTGAGCGACGGGCCGCGTCCGTGACGTGAGTGTTTAGCCGTGTTTATATATCAGTTTAACAATTTACTTACTTGTTGATTAGGTGCATTGTCATTTATCACACCGGAGCTTTTAACTTTTATCTTGTAAGAACCAGCTGGTGGTATCAATTCATTTGTAGCGATGTTTTTGTTAGGAAGTACATCATTATTGTTTTGTCCTACAGGTCCATTAGAAGAAAGTTGAGTGTTTCCGCCAGTCTGGAACTAAGAAATTTATTAATACTTACCATTAAATTATACACATTTTATTGTCATTTAAAATAAAATCTTCAATTACACAAAAAAAAGTTTAGTTTAATTAAGATGTCTAAGTTTTAAGCATGCTTAAAAATTAATATTGTTACCTTCAATAACGGTTAATACCAAAAAGGTTTGAAGTAAACAACAAAATAAATCACACCATTTTATTTTACCAAAGTATATTTTATTACACAAAAAATGGGTGCATAAGACGGCAATTTTTGCGTGTACATATATCACTGTTAATTCACCAAACCAGTTAGTCAAGACGCTTGTTTCACACAAGGACAGAGCAATAACAATGCAGTTCTGCTTTGGACAGTAAATGGGCGTTTAAATAATAGCAGTACTAGACTGTTTACTTATCTTCACTATTCTGCCCACGTGTGAAACTAGCATTATATATTACAATTAGTAAGCCATTGATAAAAGCTTCTTCTCCTGTTCGCGTCTCTGTAGTTTTAATTGTTTTCTCCTTAGCCTTTCCTGCCTTCTTCTATCTTTGTCTGTTCCGTCGCCACCTACCAGGGTAGATGAGGAATAACGGTTTCCTGCTTGCGCCGTGGCAAAGCCAGTACCGGCGGATGTGCCTCCGTTAACACCGCCCGCCAAACCTGCGCCCGCCTTAACGTTTCCTCCAGCTGTAGCTCCAGCATAAAGGCCGCCTAATAAAATATTTCCATTTGTTAATAACAGACATTCCATTTAGTTATTACAATTTTAATAAACGCCAAGTCAAAAATAAGTAGTTTATTTTATGATTTCTATTTCTCTCAAACCATTAAAGGTAGAGTTAAGAAAAAACATCCAAGAGATAAATGTGACAAACGATTTAGAGCTAATTTAATGTTTAAATGTTTATTCTAGTAAATATAGTGTGTAGTATATTATTTAGTGCAAACAAAAAAGTTTACTAATAAAGAGGTTTAAAAGCTTTTCTTTAAAGCAAAAACAAAGTCATTTTTATAGCAATAGGATGCAAATGAGCGGACAATTTAATTCGTCAAAGTACGTTGCCCAAAGATATCTGCATTTGCAGATGCGTTGCCTACTTTTAATAGATAATTGTAATTATAATTTGTTTATAAATGTAAAATGACAGAAATGTCAATTCGCAAATCTTCCTCATATTCTAGAACCTGCTTTCAAAAACTACTTGAGATTTAAAAAGAGTTTTCGAGGAAAAGTTTCTGTACTTTATTAAAGTGGTTTCAAATTTATTCAAATATATTCGTTGGTGATATTCTAACTTATAAGTTAATGACTTGGAAGTCGAGTTAGTTTCAAAGGAATTGAAAAGTTTACCTGATGTTCCACCGTTAGCATCTACAGCACCTCCTAATCCTGCCTTTGCTGATTGACCATGAGGTGTGCCAGCTTCAGCATATAGCCCGCCATTGGCACCGTTTCCTTTGAAAATGAAAAAATAACTTTTATAATATTGAACTTAGTTTCGACTAAGTATAAACTAAGCAATAAACCACATAAAAGTCATTCGTGACACAAAATCTCGCGTAATTCAACATAAGTACAGCATAATTTATACGTTAGATGCGATAAGGATTCGAATTTCGAAATTTCCATGCGTGCTCCCAGAATATCAGTGTTATGCTATCATGAGTTTTGAATTTAGAAAATCATATCGTTAAAACATTCCGTAAGAATAACTGAGACGATTTATTGAACAGTTTCTAACGGCCAGTGTTTCCGATAAGTAGATAAATACTCCTTGTTCAGAATACTCCAATTTTGGGTAATAAATGTATTAAGTCAGTATTACCTAATACACCGCCAAGACCAACTGCTGCATGGTAGCCTGCGAAGTTAACACCTAGTTTTCCATCTTTATAGCTGATCAACTGTGGAGCCTGCAAATATACATACTAATTCCATTAAAATATTCGGATTTAAGTTATTATTTTCAGACATTATTAAATAGAATCCTTTGGTGCGAATGGCGTCCTTTCATTACAAAGTCAAGTGTCAGAATGAATAGCGAAGAGACATAAACGTCGACATTTTAGTAAGGCTAGTGTTGTGCCAGTACACAGACGCAGTGTTTGATTTTCTTCCCAACTTTAGGTAACTAAGGTACACATTTCTATTATAAGTATCATACATAACTATATTACTTAAGATTGTTATAAAATACCGATAGTAGCTATTTATTGTTAAATTATTTTATCTCAATAACAAATTTTTAGTTATTTTAATTTCATTTTCTGTCGGCGGTCGTATTACTGAGAGACTGTAATTTTCATTTATGTATTAAAAATACTACATATTTTTATTATTAAAGCCATTTCTTTGTCGAAGACTTTACTCTAATAAGGTATTGTGTGGAAATCTGAGAAGTAACTCCCAATTAACGTCATTTGAAGACAGCTTACTAAATTGGTAAAAGTAATGTTAATATAATATATTCTTTGACGTGTTAATATTAATAATAACATTTTTGAATAATGATTAAGATATTTTTTCACTAATAAGTGATTAAAATGTATGTACAAAAGGATTAAATACAAAATAATAATGAATCACAATATTAATATAAGCAAGAACTATAAAATGCTTCTTTACGTTTTAGCTACTGACAGCATGTTCTATTGTATTATTCTGTTTGAAAGGTAACTCAAAGCAACACGGAAGAAAATTAAAACAATTCCTTAGAGCAAATGAAGTACAAAAGATGTGCAACTTATTGCATAATTATTCTGATCGCGTCAGAATAATTATGTTATGATGAAGGAAGTTAGAACAATAAGATAAAGGAAAACAATCTCATATTTAAGAAAGAATCACAATTATATTAAAACTTTAAAACATTCAAATTGGTTTTTCCCATTTTTTGTAACACATAAAGATCGTAATAAAATTGGTATTTACGTAGTTACTAGTTATCGAACGTGGCTTCGCCCGCGGAATTTAACAAAAAAACTTCATATGTAATCCAGAGGGCCTAGCACGATTTTTTACGATATACGCCTTCGTAAAATATTTCATAATTTGTATGACTATATTCGTGCTAGGCCCTCTGATCCATCCATCAAAATTTACGCATTTATAAAATTAGCAACATTATTCGACTCATATTAATAATCAACACTCATTTTCTGTCCATTCCATATGTAATTTGTATACATTCATATATTTACACGTGAATTATAATAATACATACCCACACATACATAGACTTACGCTTGTAAGCGTGAAATTCCGTAATTTAAACACTCGTATAAAAAATGTTGTTGTTTATATGTATTCAAAGGTAAGAGAGAGAAGGCGATATTTTTTACGGATGTCTTACGATAGTGGAAACATACTGCTTATTCATAAAAGTATATAGCAATTAAATTTTAATCCTTCAAAAATGGATTTTATTATTTAAATCGTTGCCATTTAACCAGTTAATACTCTACGAGTACCTACTGCATGTTAACGAAAACATTTCAATGCTCTTATATTTTAAGGTCAGTGTTATAATGATTTCCTGTTATTTATTATTAATGTAACTTATATATTTTTTAGTTATTTTTAATAAGCCAGTGACTAAAATGTATGCTATATTAATTTCTACTCAGGTATTATCATCAGCTCACTATACGTCCTCACTAAGGGAAGCCTACCCCTTAAGTTAAGGGTGACTAGGCCATAGTCAAACACGTTGGCCTAGTGTGGGTTGATTTCACACATATCTTTGAATTTCATCGCATGTGCAGGTTGCATCATAATGTTTTCTTAACCGTAAGAACGTCGGATAAAAGTATATATATGTAAATCGAAAATTGAAAAACATATTGGTTCATGGCGGAATTCGAACCCAAGACATGCAGATTTCAATACAAGTGCTTTAACCACTGAGGCACGAACGCACAAGTATAAAAAAATGTTCATATTAAGTTAAAAAAAACTGTCATATCAAGATTAAATAAAAAAGAAATATCAATGGTTGATTTGAACAAGAAGTGGTGTGTGTGTGTGAGAACTTATAACAAATTGAAAAAAAATGAATGAATAACCAATAAAATTGTTATGATGTTTCAAAGGAAATAAGATACTTACTGAATACACATGCGGTAGAAGAAACACGATGAAAATAACAGGAAACTTCGCCATTCCCATATTTTCTGTAACGTAAAAGGAAATTGATAAAATAACATATACTTATGACATAAAGTTATAATACTTCAAAGCTGATTATATACATATCACAGAAGATTCAAAAATACGCATATCGATCTCGAATATTTATTTTAAATTTTAACTATTTGCACTCGACAAGTTTTTTTTTTAATTTAACAGTAGAATTTAATAAATTGTAAGCGTCTTTTCGTCATAATAATAATAAAATTAACACATTGTATCGGAAAACATAGACTAAGTACATTTATTGTTTTACACGTTTAGATTATATGTATTGCAAAAATATTTATTTTTAAAATAGGTTTTATCATTTTAAATGTTTATTGGCATCAAAGAAATATAATTTCATTGTGTTTACATTGATCATTTTTTTTTGTATAGAATATACGTAAAGAGCATAAAAACCTACTTTTATGGTGAACAACCAAAATAATCTCAGTAAGTCGCACGCTCACTTATAAATTCTATTGTCACAATGTGGGAAAGGTCAAAACTCCAAAGTATGAAATAAAGCTTAGGTTCAAGACAGTTCAAGGTGATAAGAAAAGATTTTTATATAAGTGTAATTGAATGTATCAACTATACAAAATATTTTCGTAAATACTATTCTTGTTCTACAATTTTGAGATTTTTATTTTGAAATGGAGAATTTGAACGATAATATTAAGGTTTTAAACATTATTTCTTCCTAAAAATAAATGCAGAGTGTTTATTCGAATCAAACCGCACGAATAAACAGAGGTTAGCTTACTTGAGATTTCGCGGATCATTTTGCGACATGATAAAGCGAAGATAATACAAGTAAAAGGAAAGTATTTGCGCTCGTTTTTTTGCTTTTATCTGACGATAATAAGAAGTGGAATTTCTAGCAAGAATACTAAAACTCAAATTCCGCACATTTTTCAACAACTTAATTAAATTAATAATATACTAGAGAGGTTTCCGTAAATATTTAGAAGGAAAAAATTTAAATTAAAGATTCTATAAATGTATTTTCCATTACATTTGCACAGACAAAATTGGAAGTGCTGGCTATTTTTGATGCAGAACCATAATCGTTAGTACAACGACTTAAAACATCGTAGTGCCATTTTTGTTATGATAAAATCTAACACAACCTAAGCAGGTGTATGAACGCACATTGTGGTTTAAAAAAACACCAAAATAGCTTATATGAATATGAATGAACATTATTTATTGTAAAAAAAATCTTTAGGATTCCAGCAGATAACTATTCTTAGCATTGCCAGTGTTTTTATTCCTAATTATTATAAAATTTCTAAATCTTACTTCTTACTCATATTATATTATAAATGCGAATGTTTAGATGGATGGATGTTTGTTTGAAGGTATTCTTCAGAAAGGCTGAATTGATCTGGATGAAATTTAGCATACATATAGAACATAGTCTGGAAGAACACATAGGCAACGAGTTTATCTTTTAATTCCGCGCATGCGGTGTCGGGGGCGACAGCTAGTGATTAATAAATGCAACTTAAATATTAATTCATTTGTTTTAATAACTAGAATATGTATAATTAATTAGCGTTCATAATGCTTCTCATTATTGGATTTCTTTGTATGTTTTACTAACAAAATAAATATTATGTTTTTGTTAAGAGAATTATATTTTCAAATGTTCTCTTAATATATTAAGACAAAGATGGAGCTTGCTCATATTGTTGAGTTTTTCAACGTAATATTTTTGCTGGAAATATTTTATTTGCTTACTTTTTGTATAGACTTTAAGTCCTTGGTTATGTGAAGTGAATGTGTATTTAATATCAAAAGGTGTTCATTTTTCATTCTTGGAATTTAATATTATAATTTAAATATTATTGGCTTTCAAAAAAATATGACAATCAATTATTATAACAAGTATATAGCATGCATATGTTTTAAATAATGTCTTAAAATTTCACATTTTATAATATATAAATTGTATATTATATGAGTGCACGAGTTAAAATTTGATTATGCGATATTCCATTTTGTTTTTGTTTTAATTCATTATAGTAATACGGAAGAGAAAAAGAGAGCGTTTAAAAAGAAAATAATCTTTGCCTAATTTTAATGTAGGACGGCTATTTTATTATAAAAATGATGTATTTGATTTGTTTATAAAGTGTATAAATTATTGCACTATTATAGAGTTCGTTACGAGCGGAACTGCAGATTGCGTCAAACATCGCAATAACGCCAATGTAACTTTCACTTATTTCTTACAACACGCATAAATATGATTCCGCTAAGTATTTCTATTACAGATTGGATGATACATTCACTATTGATTTTAGACCAATTGTCAAGTAAAAACACATCTATATTTTCAAACTAGTAGGTGACAAGCAAGCACTTGACATCTCTATAATAGCTAAAGTGCCTACCCGATATATTTTCAATATATTATATACTATATTCCAATACAAAATATATTTAGAGAAAAAAAAAATTATTTCTTTCCATGCAATCTCGGTCAAAATACATTTTCAATTTGAAAAGTGCATAGGGTATGAGGACTAGACATAGGCCTCTAGAACCTTGAGCATCGTGGTTGAATGATTTGTCGATATATTAATTGGAGTTTAAGCCCTCGTTATTAAATATAAAAAACAAAAATAGAAATAACTTTTTTCCTTATAGGAGGAGGGTGATTATTGTCCAAACTCCCTAGTTTGGACAATAATCACCATAACATAGGATATAACCCTTTATACCCTATGTGATGGATCAACAGGCCCACATAAAATGCATATTCTCCTATCTATAAGTATATCGGATTGCAATAAGGATACTTTCCCATAAAGTTTCGTAAATACTATTTAATGCGATGTAATTTATTTAAATATTTCACAAGACGTTATTTGAATATATTATTTCCATCACAAAATTACTATAATATTCCGTGTGTGGTAAAAACATATTTGTATGCGTCACTTGGCTTTACCAGACCGTATGAATAATTAATGGCTAAAACATTCCATTATACCCTCATACAATCGGACAAGACCACCTTAGTATCTCGAACAGAGCAAGTATTAATCGTGATTTGAATTAAAGGTTTAAGTATAAACATTGAGTCACAGTTAAGTTTGTTTCAATTGCCAGTGTTTATTTAAAAAAACATATCGTAAACTCTGTATTTTAAAAGATAATGTGTGGAGTTACAATTTGTTTTTTGTATATGTTGCGGTAAAGGAAACCCACGGTTATAATCTGCCAAATTATGTGTTATTAAGTGTAGTATTAAGAATCAGAACCGTAATTAAGTTTTTCGTTTATTTCATTTCTAATGAGCAATCTTAATAAAAAAAACTTTAAATCTAACATATAATTTGGAGATCTAGCTTTAATTCAATACGTATTCTTTCTCAAAATATCATATGATATTCTGAGAAAGAATACGTGATCACAAACATGTCAACGTACCCCGACCATAAAGTTTTTTTCCAATAATCGCTATTTAATCTTAAAAATAAATCGTAATATAAGAATTTGATTAACAATTTCAGAATAGTTAGTAAATATAAACACTGCTTATCATAGAAATAAAATGTAAAGTTATACCTCAACCATAAACAATAATAAAACTTACCAAATCGACTTGTCAAAGCAAAGTATTATTTCACTATAATAGCCGTAATTTATTTGTAATTTTCCAAATAGATTATAATATGTATACTTTGAGCATTGGTGTAACTATAATTGCGTGCGCAGTAGAAGGCTTTGCGGAAAAAACTACGGTCATGAGTCGAACCGTTCTCTTCTTTTGTTTGTCGCAACACGCGGGGACCGGTTAGCCGCTGGGCTTAATTGGTACTGCGCTATAATTCACACTAAAATTATTATGTTAATTCAATAACCAAACTATAAATAATACATGTAAAACCCCAAAATTTTACTCAGATTATTCGAGGAATTGTGATAAAAGTATTGCTAGTATCGACAAAATAAATTAATATTTTTATAGAGATGGATAAGATCTTGTCAATGGACATTTGCTTTTTTTTGTCACAAAATTAAAGCTGAATTTTTATTTTTTCAAGGTCATTCCAAAATGTTATTATGTCAAATTTCGAACACATCTATATAAGCATATTAAATGAGATTTGAAGTAAACATTATAGAATTTCGCTAATTTTTTTTCCGTTGTTTTAAAACGTAATTCGTGATAGGAAATTTTTCAAAGCATAAGGTAGCAAACAAACAACCGGTAAAATGGTATCGTTAAAATAGCAATATGACCGCTGCTCATATACATTTGAGATAAGTTGACTGGATGCAACTACGTTCCTTACATTTAAGGGATATAAGATACTGTAACTAACTCCTGTTAAATCCACATTTCCTACCAATTTTTACTAGAAATGTGTGATAAAAGGTAGTGGACTGAAATTTGGCCTCCGACACTTTCATCAGACGAAACGCAGACATAATTCTATTACTTAGAGTCTGTGTTCTGTATGGTCGTGACATTGAATCTGTCAAGCGGCAGCTAAAGTTGCTACAGACTACCACTGTTACAATTGTTTATTTCTCATGTATATTTAAGTACATATGAACATTTATCCGACGTTCTTACGGTGAAGGTAAACATATCAGAGAAGAAAGATATGTGTGAAGTCAACCAACCCGCACTTGGCCAGCGTGGTTGACTATGGCCTAGTCACCCCTAACTTAAGATAGGCTCCGAACCCCTGGGTGGAGACGTATAGTGAGCTGATGATGACGATTTAAGTACATAGATTTGTTTTCTTAACAAAAAAAATCATCTTTATTGTAATATATAAAATAAAATAAAAATTAATATAAAAAAATGAATAAAAAAAATAGATAAAACAATCCAAAATTAATCAAATTATTAAATAGACAATACAAGTCGTCAATCCTCTATATTTTTTTAGCTATCCGAAATGAAGTATGAGAGAATTTGTCTGTTCTAGTTTTCCTTAAAGACCCACATGCACACAAATATTTGCCCCACAAATGAAAATTTATCAGTTCAAATAACATAGCGAAAAATTTAGACAGTATCCGACTATTTCAAATAGTTTGATTACCATAGTACACATACATTACAATTTTTTCATACTCAAAAAAAAAAACGAAATAAATACAATAGTACAATTCAACATAGTTAAAATGATAGATAATTTATAATGGAGCCAAACAGTATATCTAGTTCTTGTTTATGATTGGCTCAAGGAGGTTCAATTAAGAATCGCCATAAACATTTATATTTCTTTTGTTTTTTTAGGATTTATCGTGTATGTCTACATTTACGTATCATTGGTATCTTTTTATAATCTGTTCTTAAATTAATCTTACTCTTACTAATATTATAAACGCGAATGTTTGGATGGATGTTTGTTTGAAGGTATCTCCAGAACGAGTGAATGAATATCACTGAAATTTGGCGTAGATGTAGAACATAGTCTGGAAGAACAAGCTACTAATTAAGTTGTTTTAATACCGCACGGACAGAGTCGCGGACGACAGCTAGTTTAGAATAAACGTATGCTAAATTCTCAGGAAACTGTAAGGTACTAATTTCCTTGTCCCTAAGCTGAATAGTTAATGAATACGCTCACGTACTGGATATAAATTTTGTCTCTCCAGAGTTTCGTGAAGGACTACTTAAATAGTATTATTACAAATTCGACACGTAAAATTCCTATAAAGTAGATCAATTTTTGAACTCTAGTGATTTACCAGCGTCTTATAGTCAAAGATGGTACATATAGTTTAAGTTGTTATTTTTTTGGATATTGACGTATTTATTTGACGTCAAGATAACCTCACCATTATGTGACGTCACAATTATTCTTAGAACAACATTTCTTAATTTCGAAAGCGTTTAATTTTCTATTATTTTATTGGCATTAAAAATGTATCTTTCCTATATCACTGATTATTACGAGTACTTATAGTAGTTAAAAGCATGACGAATTGTAGATATGTGTTTACAAATGTAATGCAGGTCAATAAAATCAAGATATTATTGGGCATAATTATAGTATTACGAGTCTATTTAACTAATTATCAGATGATTTACCATATAAATAACGTTGCGTAACAATTAATTCGTGAATAATTATTCCCCAGTTCTATTGTGTCCAGAAATATCGAAAATGTTGTATACGTAAATTAAATAACTTATGAAACGATATTAGAAAATTGACGTCAGATAAAATGTCATTGACCTGTTCGCTTCGTTAGACTTGACATCTTGTTTAGTCCAACAAACTTATCTGACCCGATGGGCACAAAATAAACTAAACTGCTCAGTAGCCGCCCCCTTGTTAATAAAAAGAGGCACAAGATTCTTGTCGGATTGTCATTGTCTTATCTGATTTTTTCCAACAGAACTATCAATAATAGCGCCTCTCTTACCTGTCATGTTAAGTTTGTCGCACTATAAGGGTGAAATGCCTCGGTTAAATTGCTTAAGATAACTTAAGAACAATGACACTCTATTAGTGTTAAAGTATTGCCCAAATGGATCATTAAGTTACGCTATCATAACTGCATACTTAACTCTTAAGTGATGTTAACTTAGTCATACTTAATGAAGCATAATATATCATACAAAATAAATAACAATATGATAAAAATACTGCAAATGCGTTTTAAAAACATTGTATTACTTTGATCGATTTAGCTATTCATTAAATAAAGACCGATTTTTGTGGCGATAGGTTATATGAGGCGATAAATCTTCTTGGCAATAGATATTTGTGGCGATTTCTGAAACGTTAGTATTGGCGTTGATGAGCTTATGAACATCGAGATGGCGATTTCTGTCTCTATATTATAATATTAAATAGAATTTAACGACATTTGTACATAAGTAAGCAAATATCGTGTGTATTATGGAAATACCGAAATTTTTACTGCAAACATTATCTTTGCTCCCGTGACATTTAAATATCAATTCACCTTGAAACTTCTTACGTAGGTAAGAGCTAACCAGATTTATAATGATCCGAAGTAAACATTTTAGCAATGTAATGTACTCGTTATATTAAAAAATATATATAAGAATACGTAATACGTACGATAAAAAAAATACTATGTCAATATTAAAATTATTCAAACTTTCGTGAGACATTGTCAATGTTGTGACGTCATGATAAAATTTACATTTGTCATCTATGTCTACAATTTTGTTAGCATACCTTACATATTATTTGTAAATATATCGATTTAAAAACTTACTTAAAATCTCAAATTCTGATTAAACTGTATATTTTTACTATTTTTTTTTTAAATATTAGCAGATTTTTTTTGTAAATTTACTAATTTCGGATTCGAACCCCCGACCTCGTGATCAGAAATCCGTACCCCTTACCATTAGGCTATTGACGCTTAAAGGTCGGTAAGGTAATTTTAAAGGTCGATAAAGGCTCTGGATGCACTTCCCAAAGGAAAACACTAAGGCGACATTTGGTGTAGATTTTTTTATGAGAATTCTAGTATTAAATAATTGTTAAATAACCATTATTTATTACATTATTACCAACCAAGTAACCGTCTTTGAGTGCGTAGTGCCATTAGTTGACTTTATAACACGGCGTGAATAAATGAAAAAATAGACCTTGCTAATATGAGATAAGTACTAACTTTAACAACGTTAGGCTTCCATCACTTCTAAAACAACCTTTACCTAAATTTTATATGAGGCCATCTTACCAAACTATATTCTGACCACAAAGACCTAGCCTTGCTAGAATGACGTGAATCTGTAAACCACTAGATTCCGATTTATAAGCACCACGAATGAAATAGCTTTTCGACATTTAAAGAACATAAAAGCATCGTAACGTTGACTACTAAAAATATTTCCGAGCGCTCGGCCGTGTACTCGACTATTTATTTACAAATATCAAGCCTTAGGCTGAAGGCACTGTCACGCCATTCTACTCGGTCGGTGTAATCAGGCTATTACCGCGGTACTGACTCACCTCTTTCGCTTTTTTTCATTCATTCATACATCTACACATACACGTCGGTTTCGGTCGCTATCAATATAGCCCTTCTTGAGTACTTCTTCAATCTGGACGGTAAAAGTACGTTTTAGTAAAATAATAAAAAAGATGTACAAAAAATGGGTAAATACGATAACAAGCCAGTTGTTGCGACACGATATTTTTCCACGTGCCCTTTACTACCAGCTATGAGATATGTATTGGAAATACCATTTTTTTTTAGTTTTTTTTTTAACTAATAGTAAAGATATACATACTGTATAACATTTATCTACGTTAAATGATTAACAAAGGAAATATTGGGAAACATGTTTCGAATGCAGTGAAAGGATAAAAATAATATAATTACCTAATGTCCAAGAAATAATGCGAACATGCGCTTTTAGCATTTCCACCATCAATGGCTGCCGGTTTTTCCGAAGTGAAACAACTTGAGAACCTTTAAGAAAAGTACGTACTCAATAGCTAAGATTTCAAATACAAATCCTGGAAGATATTGCTTCAAGCAAGACGGTTAAATGCTCAACCATGTCACCACTGATACTTTATTTTTTACTATAGTATGCTAGATGTCGCCTGCAACTCCGTCCGCGCGGAGTTAAAAAAAATAAATGAGTAGCCTATGAGTTCTTCCAGACTATGTTCTATATCTTTGCCAAAATTCAGCGAGATCTATACAGCTGTTTTGAAGGTACCTTCAAACAAACATCCATCCATCCATCTAAATATTCGCATTTATAATATTAATAAGTAAGAGTAAGAAGTAAGAT